GTCCCTTTATTTTTCATTTTGATGACGTCATCATGGTAAAAAAGAATGCTTTTTTGGAGCCTTCTTTTATCTTTTTTTCTTAAAAGATTAAACATTTTTAAAATAGAGGGTGGCAGACTGTATTTCGATGCTATCGGACCGATACTCTAAAAGAAAAATTTGTGTGGCATTACCAACCAACAGGGGGTTTTAAATTAAACTTGACAAGGATTAAATTCATGTGCCATTACCGTCCTCGGGCACGTCGTATAAGGTATTCGTACTTGTGCGTTAAAATTTTTAAATTGTTAATATCGCTTTTTAGATAATTTAAAGCACGTTTCAGGTCATTTTCAGTATTCCTAAACTTTCCATAATTTACGCTCCGTACGCTCATTTCCATGCCTACAGCATGTACTGAAGCTGGAAATTACGTTTCGGTTACATGTTTTGGGTTTGTGACACTGTATTTAATATCATTTCTGTGCGCATGCACGTTAAGACGTATGTGTACACATTCGTAAGTCTTTAAAATGCTCAAAATTACTCTTTTTAAAAACTAAATAGAGCATGTTTTAGCATATAATACTTTTCAATCAGAACCGCGCGTGCTTTGTGAGGGTCAAAGTACGGCGGATCACCAAACTCGTCCTCAGTGACGAGTTCAAATCCAGTTTTTATTTGAAATCATCAATATTTGCAGTGGTCGGGTTCACTTAACATGCTATAAAAAAGTCTTGCCTAATGGATAATAACAATTTTCTTTTCTTCGTCAGCTAACTACACAGACCACCCTGGAGGTGTGGATAGCTCTGATTTTGAACTACTTAAAGTCCTTGGTACAGGAGGTAAGGAACTAAAGTTATGGAAAGGGAATATAATACAGTGTAACATTTTAAGCACTTTTGTTATAGTTATTTTTATTTTCATTATTATTGTTGTTATTGTACTTTTTCTATTCCATTTTGTAGCATATGGAAAAGTTTTCCTGGTACGCAAGGTAACTGGACATGACAGTGGCCAACTGTTTGCTATGAAAGTTCTAAAGAAGGCCAGCATTGTCCAGAAAGCCAAAACTGCAGAACATACAATGACTGAACGTCAGGTATTAGAAGCAGTCAGAAGATGTCCTTTCCTAGTGACACTACACTATGCATTTCAAACAGATTCCAAGCTTCATCTTATTCTTGGTAAGACAAAACAAAAGTACTTTTTGTTTGTTAACATCTGATGTGGCTAAAAAAAATGTATAGCTTTTCAAAAGATATACCGTTTGCTGAATTTTGCAATCAATTTTTCCAAAGCTTTTTTTTCTGGAAATGACAGAGGGGCCATCTTGTTTAGCTCTTTCATACAGCTGGTTTTGACATTGAGAGTAGGCTGATTTCTA